ACAGGGGTGGGAGGAAGGGGGAAACTGGTAGAGGAGAGGAGACGCGGGGCGCTGCCTTTTCAAAACGAGAACCCACAACGAAACATAACAACAACCACACTGCTCCAACGCACCCTCTCTCCTCGTTCCACTTCCCTTCCCCCCCTACCTTTCACTTTACCTCCTTCGCCCTCTCCTCCTCTTCCTCCTCCTCCTCCTCCTTCTCCTTTTCCTCCTCCTCCTCCTCGGGGGGTGGGGGAGGCAGGAGGAGAACGCAGGAGGGAGGAGGAACGGCAGGGAGGAGGGAAAGGGCGGGGAGTGGGGGGGTGAGGAGGAAGAGGATGAGGAAGGGGAGGAGGAATGAGAAGTGAGGAGTGATGATGGGGAGGGCGTTCTTGTCAGTCTACGACACAGGCCAGTACTGCCGATTGCCACTGTGTAGTGCTCGTGCCTGTGGCGTTGATTGATGTGGTGTACGTGCAGCTCTGTTTGACTGTGTGTGTGTGCGTGCATGCGCGTTATATATATATATACATATATATATATATATATATATATATCAATTTCAGCGTGCCCGCAACCGTTCTGTCTCAAGGGAGGTCTCCCACCGCGGGGGTCGGCAAGACACCCCACCTCCCATGTATCCCTCCTCTCTCTTCCGCCAGAGATGGAGGCCAGTGGGAAGCTGTGGTTTTCCCAGAAGGGGAGGAGGAGGAGGAGGAGGAGGAGGAGGAGGAGGAGGAGGAGGAGGAGGAGGAGGACCAGGAGTGAAAGGTGGGGAGGCGGGGAAGGGGACTGGACCGAGGAGGTGGCGGTGGAGCAGTGGAACGGTGGGATGCGTAAATATCGAAGCATTGTTGATGGTGATGTTTTTTGGTGGTCATTCAATCCTGTTTTTTGTTCGGCAGGGCCGGTCCCTGTGTTGTTGTTCTCAACCGTCCTTGGGTTTTCGTTTTGAAGAGGCAGCGCACCACGTATTTCTCCCGCCTCCCTCCTCCTCCTTCCTCCATCATCACCATCATCCCATCATCCTCGTCCATGCGTCCCCCCCATCGATTTCGGCACACCCCGCACGCGCTTCGTGGCCCAGTAGGGGGCTCCGCCGAAGGCCCCAGGGCAACAGTCCACATGCGCCCACCGCGCCCGCCTTCTGTCCATTTCGGCAAAGCCCTTACACATTATTCGTGGCCCCATCGGGAGCTCCACCAAAGACCCCAGTGGCAAGGTCCACATGCGCCCACCCCGCCCGCCGCATGTCCATGTCGGCTCACCCGTCACACGGTTCGCGGCCCCATAGGGAGCTCCACCGAAGGCCACAGAGGTTAAGTCCACGCGCGCCCACCCCGCTCACCGCATCTCCATGTCGGCACGCCCCTCACACAGATCGTGGCCACATAGGGGGTTTAACCGAAGGCCCCAAAGGTTAAGTCCACATGCGCCCACCCCGCCCACCACATGTCCATGTCGGCACACCCCTCACACGGTTCGTGGACCCATAGGGAACTCCACCGACAGCCCCAGTGGCAAAATCCACATGCGCCCACCCGGCCCACCGCATCTCCATGTCGGCACGCCCCTCACACGGTTCGCGGTCCTCAGCAAGCACACAATCCTCCACCGTGCCCCCTGGAACGTTGAGGCGCGGAAGAATACCAAGGCCTGTCTGGTAGGGCTTCTCGAGCTCTGAGAAGGGACCGCCCCTGCCTCTCGAAGCAGACGCTGGCGTGCATCCCCTCGACTCACCGAGGCCACTTCTCTCGCGCCCGCTCGACGACGGTTCACTTCCCGCATGGCAGCTAATGCCGGATGCTCCAATCCACGCGTGCCGGCTCAAGCATCGTACACTTCCAGCATGGCATCTGAGGCCTGAACCCCACTTGCGCGCGCGCGCGCCCGCCCGAGAATAGTGCACTCCACGCATGGCAGCTAATGCTTGAAACCGCTTTGCACGCGTGCCCGATCGAGGAGGGTGCACTTTCCGCATGGCAGCTAATGCCTGAAACCCGATTCGCGTTCCCGCTCGAGCATGGTGCACTTCCGTCATGGCAGCGACTGCCTGAACCCCCTTCCACAGGTGCTCGCTCGAGGATGGTGCACTTCCGACATAGCAACTAATGCCTGAACCCTCATTCCATGCGCGCCCGCCCGAGGATGGCGCACTTCCCGCATGGCAACCACTGCCTGAACCCTAATTCCATGCGCGCTCGCTCGAAGATTGCGCACTTCCCGCATGGCTGCCACCTCCTAACCCCCTCATCCCACGCGCACCGGCTCGAGGACCGTGCGCGCCACGCATTCCCAAGGGCTGCTCCCAAGCGCTCCGGGGCCCCCCAAGCTCCGGGGCTGCTCCCAAGAGGGCCCCGAGACGGCCCCAGAAAAGCTCCAAGACGGCGTAAGAGGGCCCCAATACGGCCCATCAGGGCCCTAAGGTTCCCTCAAGACGTCTTCACAAGAGGCCAAGACAGCCCCAAATTCAGCCCAGACGAGTTTCATCAGCAGCAGAAGCTGCTAAAGCATCATCATCCTCATCCTCATCCTCGTCCTCATCATCATCATCCTCATCACCACCACCACCACCACCATCATTATCATCATCATCATCATCATCATCATCATCATCATCATCATCATCATCATTATCATCATCATCATCACCACCATCATCATCATCATCATCAGCACCATCATCATCATCACCATCATCATCATCATCATCATCATCAGCATCATCATCATCAACATCAACATCAACATCATCATCATCATCATCATCATCATCATCATCATCATCATCATCATCATCTCCGTCATCACCATCATCAACAGCGTCAACTCAATCATCCTCCACATCATCCACATCCTGATCAACACCAACACCGTCGCCGACTATCATCATCAGCATCAGCATCATTAGCATCATCATGATCATGATCATAATCACAATCACACTCTACCATCATCTGCAGGAGTGTCATCATCACCATCATCATCACCATCACCATCACCATCACCATCACCATCACCATCATCATCATCATAATCATCATCATCATCATCATCATCATCATCATTCGCATCATTACCATCATCAAAGTAATCATCATCCTCACCATCATCACAATCAGCATCATCATCATCAACATAATCATCATCATCATCATCAGCATCATCATCACCATCATCGTCATCGTCATCGTCATCATCATCATCATCATCTTCATCATCATCATCGTCGTCATCCCCATCATCCCCCTCATCCTCCCAAAACTGGAGGTTCGAGATGTCACACGTGACCGCGAACAATCGCCACCCAGAATGATGGGCTGGCACGGTGGCAAGACTTTCCGAAAGCAACCGGATAACGAATTACGGAAGGCGAGCGACGAACGGGGGACCTGGCTTATGCCCACGCAATGAAGCCCTGTCGGGGTGCGGTCTCCAAGTCTCGGTCATCTCGTGGGTTGCTTTCGCCACCCGCTGAGGAGGCGGAGGAGGCAATGCTCGCCACAGAATGTACCAAGAATGCTGCAATACAGCCATCGGGATGCCGCAAAAAAACACTGCACAAGGAAAACCATGCTGTTCTGGCCATGGGTAGCTTCGGTCACCATCCCAGATCAAGGGCACGGCCCGCAAACCAGAACCCCTCCCCAGCCAGAGCCGTTCGGTATTTCAACGCCTGGAATGTACATACTGACCCAAGGTCCCTCCTTGCATGTACCTACCTGCAAACGTTCCTTCACGTAAAGGGGGGGAAGACGACGGCCCCATAGACATACACTTTCAGACGATAAGTCCACTTTGAAAACAGCACTCGCCCTATCCACAATTGCTGCTAAAACGGGGTCGAGAAGTGGGATACTGAGAGCCCTGTAACGAGAATGAAACGGAGCCCATTCCGGCCGTGTAGCTGCTGGAAGTGTGGCGATTCGGGCTATCCAATATGACAGAGTTGCAAAGGATACCCCCATTCTGGACAGGAGCCGCCAACCATCTGTGAAACTGATACATGTGTGGGGCTTCGGAACACAATGCTTAAGACGATCCATGTTGAGACCAAGACGCCCCCCATCTGCAACAAACAGCGTAACAATACAAGACTGCGAATGCACATCGCTGAGGAGAGAAATGTGTTTTAGAAATAGCCTGCCTTCCCTCTGTGCATACGTTTGCAAACTGTTCAAAAGAACGTGCGCAACGACACGGCGAACACCGCGAATCCACCATCAGCGCAGATCCACCCGTGAAACTGCGAGAAGAAGTTGATGACGGATGCGCGAGGCACGAAAGCAACATCAAACGTTGAAAGCATCCCGCCGACCATCCACGAATTGATGCGGCGTTTAACTTGCTGCGAACTTCGAAGCTTCACGGCCACATACAGTCAAAATCAGTATCAGTTGAAACGCCCTGCCAGCCCTACGGACGCGACTGGTGGTGCGCGGAGTTATCATTTGTGCAAGCGTGAAAGGAGGAGGAGGAGGAGGTATATCAACATCTATGTAGAGGTACAGAGATACGTGAATAGAGAAAGAGAAGGAGAGAGAGAGAGAGAGAGACACCACAAGCAAGGCATAGAGAGAGATACATGTACAGACGCACGCATATAGACAGAAAGAGAGAAAGAGAGAGAGAGAGAGCGAGTGATGAATATACAGAGAACAGAAGAGACATCGAAGGAACATGACGATAAATAAGGAAAGAGCAGAAGAGAAAGAGAGAGAGAGAGAGAAAGAAAGAAAGAGCGACAGCGTGAGAGAGAACATATATATATATATGTATAAAGAATACTTTGATCAGGGCATGCACAGAATCCGAATCTGGATGACAATGAGGGTGACACGAAACAACATCGGGGGGCGAAGATGAGGGCAGCTAACAAGGTCTAATAATGGAAGGAAGGCAGGACGATAAGGATGGGTACGAGGACGGCAGGAGGATTAAGAAGCATGAGGAGGCCGAAGACGAGGCTCTGTAGCAGAACAACCCCACTAACTCGTGCAGTTCTAACCCACCGGCGCTCACGCCATCGCTGCCGCAAAGGCGGCCGCGGCAGCGAAGAGGCCGAGTCCAGCACGGAGAGAGGCGCTGAAGGCGACCTCGAGGTTGGACGATGACCCGACGCCCCCGATGGACGAGGACACCAGCAGCTGCTCGTGCTCCCAAGTCGACACCACCGGGGTGCCGTCCGGCTCGCTGCCGACGTGCATCACCACGTACGAGGCGTAGGGCTGGGCCTGTAAGACCAGACAGCGACACGGGCACATACGGTGAGGGCATTAGATCAGGAAACCTTCGATAACGAATCCAGGGCCTGGAAGCCAGTGGAAAACCAATCTTGGATTGCCCATGGCTATCACCGCCGCCATCATCAGAGAAGGAATCCTCCAGGGTCTGGCGGCTCCTGGAACTATTCCTTAACGAACGCCTCCACCGTACCCACACATGCTCGCGTCATGCCGGCCTCTGGGGGCCACGGGTCCCAAAGCCGCATAAAAGCCGTAACAAAAACACGGGGTGAAGACCGCTCCTGGAGAAAAGGGGTCGAGACGTCCATGGATCCCGAACTGCAACAGAGGAACAACAAACTGCAGAAATATAAGCTTTCGACGGTCCGCCCCGATCTCTCCGATCTGCGCTAAGACCCCACCCCGTGGCGCGCGGAGCGCGCCAGGGGCGGCGCCGGAGGTGCCGCCAGGGGGCTCCAGCGCAGATCCAAGAAATCCGCGCGGACCGCCAACAAAAAGTTTGCGTTGATGCCGCATGTTGAGGACGCACGAGCCCAACCATGCATATGAGAACAGCCGCGAGACCGACCGAGAGACAGACCCTACCAGCCAAATCCGCGAGACCGACCGCTTAGTACGAATTTTCGCGCAACCAGCAATACAGAGAGGAACGTCAGTCTATCTGTAGCGGAGTCATCAGACGTATGTGCTACAGCGCTGAGCCGACGAGAAAGAGTATCTAATACCACATACCAAAGAACAGGCATAACAACAAAACAACACCTATCAAGTGTTTTCTCTTTCGTATTATCGAGGGCCTCCAGCATGACGGTCTTCATGGTCTTGCCATTATCGTCCATCAGGACGAAGTTGTAGGTGCCCGCCTTCAGCTTCAGCAACTGGCCCGACTTGAGCTCGGCGCTCTGCTTCGACCTCTTGCCCGCCTGCTCGACCTTCATGCTCCCCCTCTTGCCGACGTACGCGTCGAGTACGGCCACCTATGGGGAAACATGACAGCCCCGATACCGCGACCGTTCCCCCGCCTTCGCCTCTTGGGCCTCCTGAGGAGCCCTCGCCGCAACGGTTCTGCATTCGCCTTGGAATCATCGCCTTATCTAACCAAAGCTCTGAGGGTGCGTCCCTGGACCCCTCCTGGGGCCCGCTCTGACCAGGACTCCGAAGCGAATCCAGCCGTGACGACGAGGGCCCAACCCCGGGTGCGGCCCTCAAAGGCAGACAACAGGGGAACCGGCATCGGCATCGGCATCGGCCATCTCGGAGAGCACACAGCGCGCTCATGCCCCGCCGGTCGGACGACACCCCCACCGTGCTGATGCTGGAGATGTGTCAGGTGTTGTGCAGTGGCCTAGCGAATGGCACGCACAGCGTCAGAGGAGACGCGTCGCCAACGCTCTTGATGCCTCACGGTCGTCTCCTCCGGAGGGCCACCTGCGCCCGCTCGTCGCCCTGCGAGAACATGTGGGAGGCGATGGCCGCGGTCATCGTGTCGTTGTTGGCGTGGTACGGGATCATCAGCAGGTTCGAGCTGACGTATGGCAGGCCTGGACGAGACAACTGCGTACGCATTCCCCTTCGGAAATCCGCGTGGATTTCCGGGGGATCTGCACTTAAGCCCATGCTTGGTGCGTGGAGCGCGCCAGGGGCCCCGCCGGAGGAGCCGCTGGAGGCGTCCGGCGCCGACCCAAGACATCCGCGCGGCCCTCCGAAACGTTCTGTCTGTGGCGACCCAGGGCCATGATGCCCTCCTCCTCCTCCTCCTCCTCCTCCTCCTCCTCCTCCTCGTCCTCCTCTCTCCTCCTCCTCCTCCTCCTCCTCCCCCTCCACCCCCTCTCTCCTCCTCCTCCTCCTCCTCCTCCTCCTCTTCCTCCTCCTCCTCCTCCTCCTCCTCCTCCTCCTCCTCCTCCTCCTCCTCCTCCTCCCCCGGAAGTCCCGACCCCGTCCCCGGGGCCAGCATTTCATCCCGGGTCATGGTCTGACAGTCCCCGGGCCCAGGGAGGGCCCCCCCAGAGGCCGAACGCTGCCAACAACCTGCCAAGAGATCCACGCGGGGCTCTCAACATTTACGTTCATGGAGTTTGTTCGTCTTCGATGGCCGCTCGCGCGGAAGGTGCCGACGCTCAGGCCGCCCAGCCTGAAATCCACCCGTTCGCCCTCCTCCAGGGGGCGAACAAAAATGGATGTACCGCTACCGCTGCTCTCCTGATTGTCAACCTACGGACCTCTGACCTATGGGAGTGGACCTGAGACAGGAAGCCCAGCTGCATGTTATCCGCGCGCGTCGGGTTATTATGGTTCGGGGTTCTACTATTTTTAATGATAGCTGTACATCTCCTCGGGCGCATTCTGATAAGGATTCCGAGGAGAACACAGCCGTGGGTGGCAACGAAGGCTCAGCAGGACGAGCAGCGGCATCGGGATCTTTTCCCTCCTCGGACTCCTCCAGCTGCAAAGAGATCTTCTTACACGCTCTGTACGGGATCGGCTCTTCCGTCAACTTCGCCCTGGTGTTGACCGTATATGCGCTCAGAGGCTTGCGGTCCGCGTACGCGTTGCAGATGGTCAGGTTGTGTGTGGTGACGACGTCGTCCTGCTGCCCACTCACGAGCTTGACGAATGCACACTGCAATTTCATGCCCGCACACATCACACCTGTGTACTTCCTGTCCTTCTCCTCGTTCCTCCTCCATGCCAACTTGCTTTCCTCCGCCTGCGCCTCTTCTTCCTCCTCCTTTCCTCTATGCTTCCGTCGTCCTGCTCCTTCCCCCCCTCCTCCAACTCATCTTTCTCATCCTTCTCCGCTTCTCCGCTTCCCCCTCCTCCGTGGCAGGGGGGAATTGGCGAGGACGACCACTTGGGCCTTCGAAGAAGGCTCTAAAGGCCTCCGTCCTTCTGATGAGCTTCCCGTAGCTTTCCAAACCTTCTCTCACCGAAGACCGGATGGCCTCTGAGAAGCCCCGACGTATTCTGAGAAGGCCTACCCCCTCTCACTCCCCCCCTACGCGCTGGCGAATCACGGGGACAAGGATGAACAGGAGGAGAGGCAAGGCGCCGGATGAAAAAAGGGGCAACAGCGGGTGGTCCTGCACCCGCGTGCCCGCCAGTGCCGCCAGGGCGTTCTCCTGCGTGCCCCCCACCTGCACGCGCTCAGACTCGACCTGGCGTTGCACTTCTGCGCCCGCATCGTCGCATCGTCAATACGGGCATTGGCTGCAGCGATCGTGCTGCCACGAGGAACGCTGAGCAAGGAACGATTGGCTCTTCTGGCAACGGCGAGCCTCAGCTTCCACCGGGTTCCCCGACCTGGCTCTGGGGAACTGTCCGAAGATCACGGCCCCTCCCGAGCGGCATTGGGCGCAGTGCTGGTGCTACCACGCGGAACGCTGAGCAAGGAACGATTGGCTCTTCTAGCCACGGCGAGCCTCGGCTTCGACTGGGTTCCCCGGCCTGGATCTGGGGAACTGTCCGAAGATCACGGCCCCTCCTGAGCGGCATTGGGCGCAGTGCTGGTGCTACCACGCGGAACGCCGAGCAGGGAACGAGGGGCTCTTCAGGCCACGGCGAACCTCGGCTTCGACTGGGTTTCCCGACCTGGCCCCGAGGCACTGCCCACAGATCACGGCCCCTCCCGAGCACGAGGTGGTCCTGACTCCAGCGTTCCGGCTGTCAAGTAGCAGCGGCCTGCCCTCTCCTCATCCTCCTCCTCGTCGTCGTCCTCCTCCTCCTCCTCCTCCTCCTCCTCCTCCTCCTCCTCCTCCCCTTCCTCCTCCTGCTCCTCCTCCTCCTCATCCTCCTCCTCCGCCTCCGCCTCCTCATCCTCCTCCTCCGCCTCCTCCTCCTCCTCCTGTTCATACACGAGCGCAAGATCTCACGGCCAAAGGTCTGTCTGTCCAGGGGGGGAGGCTCGCCGCGGGCGCCTCCGCAGGCGTCGGGAGAGCGTGCCGCGGCCGTGCCCTCGCGGTTGGGCTTCGTGCCCCCCCGGGGGTGCCTCGAGCGCGAGGGCTCCCGCCTGGGTGGCGGCCAGGGCACCGATCGCCAGGCTGCGGAGGATAGCCATGGACTGGAGGGCCGAAAAAGCGGCCCTACCCCCAAAGCCAAGTGCGTGGTCTGTAAGCCTCCCGGGAACCCCCAAAGCCTAGAGGACGCCAGGACGCCGCCCTCAAGTGCGTGGCCTGTGAGCCTCCCGGGAACCCCCAAAGCCTGGAGGACGCCAGGACGCCGCCCATCACGCAGGGCTTACCCTGTCAGCCCACAGGGGTTTCAGCACACAGCGCCTCGTAAACAAGGGTAGGGGCGCTTTTTAAGCCCCTGATGGATGCCTGCGTGGTGCCCGCGCCAACGAAGCACCGCTAGGGTAGTGTGGAAGGCTGCAGTCGGGCGCTGCTGAAGGCGGTCCTGGCCCCAGGTGCCCCCCAGCTCTTCGCGCCCTCTTGGAGCCCCCCGGGGCTCCCTGGGCCTCGCAGAGTCGGGGGCGGCCAAGAGGTGGGCGTCCAAGAGGGGGGAGCGCAAATCATGGCCGGCGGCATGTGCGCGGCCGAGGGGGGGCGGCAGGGACGTATTGAAACAAGAAGCGGCGCCATGAAATCTGGGGGGATCTCACGGCCCCCGCCATGATAGCCACACACCCCTAGTCATCACCCCCCTTCTTGGCCGCCCCCGGAGGGGGCTGCCCTGGAGGCCATCTGGGTCTCCCTGGAAAAACTGGGGGCACCGTGGGCCAGAGGGCCTCTTCTGGCAGCAGCCGGTGCAAAAAGCCGCGGAAGCGCAGAGGCCCGAGCCAGTATCTGCGAAGGGGCGGGAGATCGGCAGCAGAAGCGGCAGGAAGAGGAGCAGAAGGCAGGAGCCTCGCCATCGCTCGGCCGTCCATTCCCCGTGCATGTGTCGGTTTCGGGCCTGCTTTTTTCGCACGATGGTCCAAGATGCTCCTCGATGGCCCTCGCCGAGAAAAAATGCACACGTCCGAGCGATGCCAAGGAGCAGGATGAGCAGATGCAAGGAGTGTGTGTGTGTGTGTGTTGTGTGAGGGGGAGCGATGAGAGCGAGAGAGAGAGAGAGAGTGGGGAAGAGAGAGAGAGAGAGAGAAGACGATGGTGTTATAAACTGTGATGGACAGCACAAACGGCAACGACTGGCATGACTGCTCGACTGTATTGGTGATGATTAGGCAGATGACGAGGAGCTATCGCCATACGTACAGCATGCGTGGAGCGATGTACAGGGGTTGGGCCGAGCAAGAGGGGGCGGTTATGCGTCCCCCAAAAGAGGAACGGGAAAGTGAGGAGAAAGCTATTGGGTGGCCAAGTAGGAGGAAGATGAAGAGGAAGCAAAGGAGGCAGACGAGGAGGAAGAGGTGTAGGGGTTGTGGAAGCCTCGGTTTTGATGAGGTTAGGCGGACGAGGGTCACGTTCCTGCACCGCTTGTACGATCTGTCCGGCCACACTGCTGACATCGAGGTGCTCGCGCCAGGGGCGGCTGAGCACACCGCGCGGTGTTCACTGCCACGCCTGCCCAGCCCAGCCACACGTACAGTCAGCCTGTGCAAGTGGCCTTCTTGGCCCCTCAGCGGCGGAGCACTCCCACTGGGGGGCCGCCCCAGTGTGGGCCGCAGGCAGCACAGCTAGCACCAGCGGAGCCCTTAGCGTTGAGTCGGGCGTGTCCCTCTACAGGGGGAGTACTCAAAAATAGTCCAAAAATAGTCTGGGGACGATCTTTCTATGATGCTTTGCATATTGTCAGGCAATTTTGACTATTTCTATGTTTCGCCCAAGCTCCGCCTGTAGGAGGACACGCCCGACCTACCCTTAGCTCTATTTGCTTTTACAACTGCCATCCAGTATTTCTCCCTCTGGAGTCTCTTTCTGATTACCTATGGGTTGCGGTTGAGACTGGCTCCATCGCCCCCTCGGAATGAGTACAACATTTGTTTATGCGGTGTCCTTGCGAGCTCATGTCCTTGCACCACCGTTATCTGCCCCTTTTGTTTGCCATCCCTCAGCTTGCTGCGGCATGCATGCTGACTTTAACATTGATATCACGTCGCCAGAGTCTGGTGCTTCCTTAATTTCTCCTGTGGCAAGACGCAACTGATCCCGATAAATGGTGCCAGGCCTCCGAGAACGGATCCCCACATTCCTGGGCGGAGGGGGCCATCAGGCCCAGCGACCAATGAACGATTGGGGGGCGGCGCATACCCCATATCTGAGAAAACATGTGGCCCAAACTCAGGCCTCTGGTGGCCGTCGGGGACGATCCGGATACCCCCGGGACGCCCTCGGCGAGGTGCAGCTGAAGATAACCACCGTACGCCCCGAAACCCACGACAAGTTCGGAATCCTCTTAAAGACCCAAACCTATCCCACCCTGCCGTTATCCTGGATAAGGGATCGGAAACTGGCCCCTGGCCCCTGGGCGTCGTTGCCCGTGCCGTAGCTCGCGCCCCCCCCCCCCCCCCCGTAACAGTTTTTCGGGCCACAGCTCGGGCCTCCATGGTTGAAGGGGCCCTGGGACACACAAGTAAATACACACAAAAAACAGGATCCCCCATAGTTTCCCATATGTTCTGGATTTTTGGTCTTCCCCCCCACTTCCTATATTTTTTCATATTTTCCAAGGAATCGACGATTCATTGTGTCTGTGTTTTTGTCCCTCCTGAATGGTGGCTGCTCGGGACGACCTGGCACCCCGCGGAGAACGCTCTCGGCGAGGCGCCACCGCTGGGGAAGGCGCCCCGAGGCTGCAAAAGCCGCCGAGGTACAACGAAAACGCCCGAGACCCTTGCAGCTCAAACCTCGGAGGAGGAAAAGGTAACCATACCTTTACGTACCCCCTTGCCCGTTTTCCCCTTCTTGGACCTCCTGGGAGGCCCTC